ATGATGACGGTTCGGCGCGCCTTCAGCAGGATACAAGCACGACCCTGCCTCTGGTCGCGTGGAGGTGTGTTTAATGAGGCGATGGAACCGAACGGTTGAAGAGTCAGTAAGTATTACACGCGCTGATGAGCAGCAGCTGGGAGGACCCCAGGCGCGTGGCAATGACCCCACATTCTGCCATTCCCCCCGCGTTCGCGCGGTGTGTTCCCAAGCCCAGAAGGTGACCAAGTCCCCACCGGAAAATCGGTCGCAGCGAGCTGAGCTGCCTGGACTGCACCAGAGTCCAGCTCCCTGGCAGGGGTCCTTGGGGGCCTAGGCTCTTGCAGCGACCGCTGTGTTGGACGCGCCTGCACCCGGCCCGCGCTGCCGCTTCACTGCATGACGATTGCCGTTTTTCATTGTCTTCTTGACAACAGAGGGTCAAACGCATCGGACTCCAAGTGCTCTGTCATTGTGGTAATCCATTGCGTAATTACAACCCTGCGATTTGCGGAGCTGTGCTTGGTTCAGCACCTGCCGTACCACGGTTAGCAGGATTGGAGCGCTGTGCCAGATGACCTCTGGCAGCGCCAGAATTCAGAAGGATGGCTTGCCACGCTTCGATCGCCTGAGAGATGACTCCTCTGGTCGCGGTGGACGGCTTTGACTTGTCTTTTTCGGATTTCGAATTGCCAGCCTCCTCCTTCGACGCCTTCGAGTCCCTTGTGCTGGCTGTCAAGGGCGTGACGCCAGCATCTTCTCGCCTCATGACAACGTACGACACCTTCTCCACGTCCATTGCGGACACTTCCAACCTCTTCATCAGCGCTCTGGCTTCACGGATGAGTTCATCGTACTCCTTCATATTGTACTTTAATGACTCCTTTTTTCCGCCGTTGCATAGCCAGTAATACGCTTCGTCGGAGAAGAAGGGGACATCGTCAGGCTGGTGAACGGCAAGAAGAAGCGAAGCGGTAGCAGGGCCGATGCCCTTGAGCTTTGCCAGAGTTGCGAGCGCCTTGGCCACATCCGAAGTCTTTCCAAAAGTCGAGATTCCGTCTTGGATAGTCTTTGAAACGGCTGACGAGTCGTTTGATGTGACCAATTTCATGAGTGTTGGCCGAAACTTGCCGTGCCGTCTGTCGATATGTCAGACTGTCTCCGGAATATAAAACGAGCCGCGCGAGGTTGCGGCGCTTACAGCTTCCACTCGACCAGAATCTTGACATCGTCGTGGGTCATCAGTCTCTCGGGCGTGCCATGTTGCGAAAATAGCCGAGGGGCTTCAACGTATCGAAACTCATCGAGTTCCTTTAAAGTCTTCTGGCCTGGCTTTTCTGTCACAGCCAGTTTCAGCGATGCAAATTTGAAGCATGTTGTGAGAGAGTGGCGATTGATGCACTTACCCTTTGCTGCCGAGATGGACTCCAGTACGCTCGCGTAACTGGCAAGCAGTTCATAAAACTCTGCCTTTCCTATCGCGTTGGCCAGCATCGTCTTGGAGGTTTTGGGACCGCGGGAATGCAGGCAGACAGCATGCGGCGGTGTCTCCCTAGCTCAGACAGCTGCCACAGTGGGCTTCAGAGTGCAGTCCTTGAGGACGAGAAAGGCAGGCGCCCGAGCTGTGTACGGAGGAAACACTGGCGATAACTTGAGCCAAAGTTCACAGGCTGTCTCGTATAGCAGCGCGCGGGAAACGAAGTCGAGATAAGTTCATCACGAACGAGTAATGGGGGTTTGGCTTCCCCGGTAGCCAACATCCGCCCCGGTAACAGTGGGCGAGCGAGGCAGCGAGTGAGCCCAAGCCAGAGTGGATCCCTGCGCACGCTTCTAGACCCTGGGCCCCGTCGATCCCGCCTCGACCCGCATTGGCCAGCGCAAAAGTAGGCTGCGGGCGGTTTCCCCCTTGTCCTTCACTTCCCGAAGAGAAAAAAAGTCCGCCGTCAGACCAGAACACCGCAACCTCTGCTTCCCACCTTACTTGCCGCGAATGATCTTCGACTGACTTGCTACCTCCCCCCAAAATCCCCGCAACTTATCCAACCAACAGCTCCTTCGACACTATCGTTCAACCGCAAACATGGGCAACGTAAGTCCTGCCTGAAACCCCTCCACCAATTCGCTGTTTGGCGGGGCAGGACGTCGATTGAGGGGCTGACCGATATGCGTGCTGCAGGGCAACAGGGCTCAACAGAAGCGTGAACGCAATGCCGAGAAGGCCGGCAAGCCTGCCAAGTCGCAGCTGAAAGTGGTATGTTGCGCCATGACATCGCCGGGAAGACTGTATGCTGATGGTCATTCTTCAGAACGCTGCCGCCAAGGACATCCAGTGCCAGATCTGCAAGGCTACCTTCTTGAAGACCACCAAGGCGCCCGCGTGAGTACAATCGCTTCCGGTAGTATGACAATGGCCCCTGACTGACATGACGCAGTCTCACCGAGCATGCCGACAACAAGCACAAGAAGACCTTGCCCGACTGCTTCCCGACATTTGGCGTTGAGGCATAATCGACCAGACTGGGGCGATGCAGACGTTCGACAGGGGTGAAAGCGGGCGTACCGGTGGTTGAGGATTCACGTGGTGTGAGGGCGGCGGGCGGTGGCATACAGCGATGGCGCATGGGAACCTTTGATTTAAACAAAGCAGAACGAAGCAACCAAAAAGAGAAGACTACCTACACGGGATTCGGACATGACTGCAGTCTTGGATTTTAATCCGTGATATCATCAATCAGTGCGCCGTGACAGGCGGAGCTCCAGCAGCGGGCAGTGCTACACTCACCCCGTTTCCCGCCTTCTTGAGCTGTGCCTCTTGCTCGCGAATGGCAGCCAGGATATCAGGATACCACCTCTCCCCGACGTCCGGATGCTCTTGACCCTGTTCCGCAGCGTTGCCTCCCCCAGGTCTTGGAGA